CAATTCCCTATCCACACCATCCCACCATCCATGCCATTCCTTATTTTTTAGTCGGGATCATTTGCGGTCCAATTTGGGGATCATTTGCGGTCCGGGATCATTTGCGGTCCTGGGATCATTTGCGGACCCGTACATATCTGTCACTGCACTTCTTGAGGTAAATTTTGCCTCTCTACCAGGCGGTGTTGGACACGGTTCACGTGACAGTATTCGACCAATCATATGTCGTCTCAGCTGGCGCAATGGCGTACACATTTTTCGTTGCGAATGGAGAGTAGGTACTTTTTCTAGGAGCTGCTAGTGTAATATCTAGACCAGTTATTTGCCAAGCCTTAAGTGCAGGTAGGCAATTTTTGCATCAGAACTAGTCAATGGAAATCATGCTATGTTGAAAACGTTTGTTTACCACACGCGCTTGACATGGATATTCTTTTAGTCGTTTGCAGGGTAACAGGGATCAGTATTGTGAATTATTTTTGCGTGAAACTTTAGTTCGAGAGTTCAACTTTAAGAAAAGTCCGGCGGNGCGCTTGACATGGATATTCTTTTAGTCGTTTGCAGGGTAACAGGGATCAGTATTGTGAATTATTTTTGCGTGAAACTTTAGTTCGAGAGTTCAACTTTAAGAAAAGTCCGGCGGGCCCAGACGGGCCCCGCCGTTTTAACGGTCAAAATCGGACTTGAAGTTGTGGCATTTTCCTTGATTTGTCAGATGTTCGCGGTATTTCGCGGGAGTGATTGTGTGATTTCTACCCTTGTTTTAAGAGTATAATTTTGTGGTTCGGCTTGTTCCCTTTATATCTTAATGTTTTCTTGTTATCTTTTCTTTTTTTAGTGCGTATGTCATCCGTTTGTTTGGCCGATGTTCAAGATTTTTGGATCCTGCTTTGGATGCTAGTCCATTAAAGATTTCATCTCATTTTCAATGAATTTTCACTATCATGATCACTGCCTGTCTTGAATTGTAATCTCTAACAGAAATTTATTACTCTTGGATCGGATGTTATTGGTCAGTCAACTATGGCTGATTATTTTGATCTCCCACTTCTTTATGCTTGTTTTCCTTGTAATGTTGTTAGTAGTGGGAGACTATACATAAGCTTAAATCAATAAATAATAGCTGTTTCATGTGTATAGTTTCGCATAATTGTCAACCCACCTGGAGCAGAACGGGCCAATGTGTTTGAAGCAAATGCTGAATTACCAACTGGTGTTTTAAAAGACTATGGGCTTGGAATTAACTTTGCTATCATGATTTTCCAAGAACTAAATTTATCCACTTACACTGTAGTGATCAAACAGGGAAAGCTACAGCATGCTGCTGTTTAGGATATTAAATTTAGAATGGAATAGACCAAAACAGAATACATAATGACACAATGCAAGTGACTACTTAGAAAGCTGCATGGCAATCCCATGTTTTAAGAGCTACTGCAAGTGTTCAATATAGTGCATCTGCTTTTATTTTAAAATGCTGTTACAATTTAGTTATCGCAGTCAAAACATCTCGCTATAGATGATCTAAGATACAGCTACTTGCTAGATTGTTCTGAATTCAGTTGGTCACAGTCATTACGAGTCGACACAGGGAAGTGCTGTGGAGACTGTTTTTGGCAAATTTTTAACAGCCAATGTAGGAAATGTTAATATCAGTACATGATCACTGTGTTGTTGACCACAGGACTTGCAGAATAATAAATTTTAAACTGACAGATATTTCAAATGACCTACATAGCAGTTTTGGGTAAAGAGCTCCCTTTAGTTTACACAAGTTACATTGAACCTTAAACTTCAGCAGAGGTGTGATATGAGGCCATGCCATGAAGGCATGTCAGGACCATGAGCTATTCATTCATNATATGTATGGGCATGAACGATATGAACGACACAATAATAACACTATTAACAACAGCTTTCTTTCTTAAAAGTCATGATTAAATTTAATTGGTGTTTTTCCCGTTGAGCACTCCTGTGAAAAGTATCGTGATTGCCCTAAGCCTATTCACGCCTATCACGGCAACTGTAACGCAAAAATGCCCACGATTGATGATCCTCACCCGTTTGAAGCTGAGGAAAGTCAAGCTGAGTTATTAAATAAGCTTTGACTCACAGGCATTGACTGCATATTGAACTGACGAACTGACTAAGCGCTAAACTACTATTGTGACAAGAGAGGATAAAGGAAAAAAGTTTGCGACTGATACATTTTCCCATAACTATTAGCGGTCAAAAACTTTAACAACGCTCACAAAAACGTACAGAATAGTTCCAAAATCTTCAAATTAGACCTCGCATACACAATGTCGTTAGCACAGGGACAAATATTGCACAATGTATCTATTGTTTAAGGCTGGTTTTCACAAGCGCATAAGCATAAACCTAAGCCGACACACGGAGAGGTAGTAAGATGTTGATAATTAGCGCCTCTGGCTAGTAGCATAAACGAACAAAAGATACTACTGGAAAAGGGAAATCTCAAAAACATCCGACAATACGAAGAGGGTCGTACAGGGGGGGTCTATGGCACGGTTCACGTGGAACGAAAAAAATAGAGGATCACGAATATAAAAATTTCGTTTTCCTGAATCACGAAAATAAGCAAGTAAGATACTCTTTATAATAACCTGTTCTTACACTAGAAAGAGCGTTTGAGGAAAGAAAAATCATGAAAGGCTAAGTCAAGACGCCATATCGCAAATCGCATGTCTAAGTCACTCTCGATAGACGATTCTAACCATTCGGAGGATCCGCGTCTCAAAATCACGTAGAATTTGAGTGGTGAAATCACGAGTATCGGTGAATAATTCAAGTTCTTTACGGATCACGCAAAACCTTCAGGTCACGGATCACGAAGAGTAATTTCCTAAATTCACGTTTCACGGAAAATAAAATCAGCTAATCACGCATCACGAGAATACCCCTATACTACCCTCTACGAAGTCAATACGCCACTGCCCTGGCAG